TTTATCGTTATTTTTCCCATGGACTAGGCAAATAATAATCGCCTTGCATGTATCCTTAATAAGAGTTCCCGATTCCAAGACGCAATATGCCTTAAATTACTTCTAAACTTAATGTTTTTTTCCCCTTTTTTTTTGGGGGGGGGGGGGGGGGGGGGGGGGGGGGGGGGAACGAATATATCCCTTGCCAGGAAATCGACAAAGTAGACGAAATAATAAACTGCCAAGAGCCACGAGGGATAATGCCTGTTGTTCCTCCGGTTAACCTTTAAGTTCAATTGACTAATATGATCTAGGCTGTCGGAGGAGTCGCATGGCAACTGAAGCATCGATTGTGAGTCGTCCCTGCAAGAACTGCAGGTCGTTAACGGGCAATAAATTATACGATTATACATGATTGGCGCACGATACCGACAGCATTGGCTCTAATTTACCCTGCTAGTATCACCATAGAAAATGACCCCATATACTTTGGATATATGCTCCCTTTCCTTTCTGTTCTTATTCGTCGCTCCTTCGCTTCTCCCGATTAAGGCGACTGAAGTTATGGAGTCGAATAAGTGCCTTCTCCCAAAGGGGGGACACGATCCGGTGGATTCCAATCGATGACCGACTGAATCGATGAATTGCGGAGATCACTGGTTGCTGCTTCCGAGGGTCTTTTAAAGATGGAGGGCAAATGTTGTTTTTTTTCGCTTTCTCCGAGTGTGCTGGTTCTTTGTTGAAGGAGTCGAACGACTATCCACGAAAAAGTAATGGTCTTGAGGTCCGTGTCTTTTGGCAGTTTATTATTTCGTCTACTTTGTCGATTTCCTGGCAAGGGATATATTCGTACAGAGGCCGCGTCAGAGTTTCTGTACTCACGAAAATTGCCTTTGTCGCGATGGGGCCTGTCAGCATGTCTCAATGCCTCACGTGATAGGAGTCAGGGCGAAGAGGACGGGTGTGGTCTCATATTATCCCCTCGAAACGGTCACCTATACAATTTTTACTGCCGAATCGTGACCGAAAAATTCCTAAAGACGCGCATAAATTCGAGCAAAGTTTAAATTTCGTCAGCTGAGGCAATTAAGAGAAATATTGCCAAATGCCAGAGGAAAGAGGGACGAGAGCGGCGCCACTGAAAGTGCCAAATTGTTTCCTCAAGTCACTTCACAATACAGCCGTTGTTAAGAGTCTAACTGCGAGGCATTGCCAATATGAGTTCACTGGTGGCAATCTCAAGCAGTTGTTAGGGTGCATTTCCATGTAGGCCAACAAGATGGAAGTATCAGCTTCATGCATCAGGTTGATCCATGCATGAACTTCATGCGTGGTAAGTATCCCAACTACCCCATTAATTACCACTCCATTAATTATCCCATTAATTCATTTATCGTCTATACCTTGAGGAAACCTGTCGCGGCTAAATAGCACATTATGGGAAAATGTTACGCCGCAGAAAGTCCGTGTTGGGTATCACAGGTAGATCTCCTCTCCCTAGCCCCTTAATGAATCATGCATATTCATGAAGGGCTTATGTCAACAGACTTAGAACCTGTGCAGGCTATATTTATGTTGACAGAGCGAAAGTGCTTCTTGGCGTCGCAATGACTATAGATAAGGCGAGCCCTGATATTCTATCTAGTCGAGTGAGTGACCATCGAGTGTCACCATTATGCGAATACCTTTCTGAGATTCATCAACAAAAAACCTATCTTCTAGATACGAATTTGGGTTCTCTGGGGTGACTACACTTCCAAAGTCTTCATCAGATGAGTTACCTCCACGATTCTCGACTATCCATCATACAGGCGACGTGGCCCCTGTATGATTGACAGTCGAGATGAGAGAGAGAGTCGAGATAGATGACTTTCTACCTACATAATCAGTTGCAGATGTCTGTACGACAGTATTTTGTCCGGTAAACGTCTCCGAGGTTTCCGAGACCTATCTAGACCGATTTTCATCACCGAAAGTTCATTTTTTAAATACATTTTTGGAGGTGGGCGAACTCATTTTATATTTTCTTTCTGAGTTCACCTGTGACCTGACACGAGTGACCTTTCAAATTAATTTTGGACGCAAATTCCTGTGTGATGCATCATTTTAAATACCTTTGATATTCTTTGATATAATGCGTGTTTATATTGCAAACATGTTGAAATTTGATCCTGTTATGATCAATTCGAGTTGAAAGTGCACTGGCGCAATCTCTGTACGGTCTAGATAACTGCTTCGAGACTACTGTACTGCAACAGTTTTCTACACTTGACTTCATATCGAAGCTCACATTTCTTCCCAGTTGTACTAAGAGGTGTTCGTCGTTCTCATCACCCATGGGTCTATTATTATATCGGCTACCGGCATTAGCACACATTTGATTTAAGAATTTTGCTTACTCTTTCCTCTGGAACAGATAAGAGGGAAAGAAAGAAAAAAATGACATGACATGTGAGACCTGGTAAGGGTGAATGTGATGTTTGGCCTATATCTATTTCAATGACCCATAGTAAGCCTGGGTGCCACGGATATTCCACCAATTCTGCACAACAATGCTGGGGCAACATTGAAAAAAAGGTTGAGATGGTGTGACATCGTCGAAGAATAATTCGATTCAAGTTCATTTTTCACATTTGCCTTCGTCATAGTCTCAATATTGTTTCCAGATGGAGTTATTCATCATCATCTCGACAGAAAATAGGTTCTATCAATCGACTCGAGATGGCGCCTAACCGCCAATTTAGCACTTCCTACCCTGGTGCCCTAAAAAATAACGTTCCCTGTGTTTCTGCTGTAGTACACTATCTGTTCCCACGTACAACTTGAGGGAAGGCTTTGGAATTCTTAGGTAGACTCCTTCAAGGAGGCAACCGGGCAGGAGGAGACTGGCAAATTCTGGCAAAACGGTCCGAGGGGCGTGCTTAATTTCTCTGCATCACTTCACGGCGCACCGTGATTTGGGCTGTAATGTCTCTTTCCGGAATGGCAATGTTTTAACCGGCCAGCGAGTGTATTTTTGGCTCTCCTTTTGCATGAATCGATGAATCTGGAGGTGATGCCAGGGACGTATCTCCTTTGCTGGTCAGAATGAGTTGTGTCACTCGAGTGCTAAACTCGAGTCCTGGTCCGATGAAGGAAGTTACTCGGAAGGACCCTTCTGTTGCATAATTGCCGTCTATAGAGAATTTTCAAGCTTTAATCAGTGTCAGCACGTGTTCGGGCTTAGGAAAAGGAGGATGCCCAAACGTTGAAAATTCTACTATTGCACAACGTGACACATGATCGTATTTTCAACGTTTAACTCTGTTTCATTTCAACATTGCGTCAACATTGAATCCACCATTATGGCATCATTGCTACGTTGAAAATTTAGTCCTACCTCAACGTTGACCTGACGTTGTTGTGCCGAATGGGTGCACTTTCCAATATAATATTGCGTCATAGTTACAATTGAAATTGCGTGTATGTTGTGCATGCTCATGCCTGAGTGCGTCTTAGTTCCGTCCCTCTGGGTCCTTGCGGGCTTATCAGTATTTTTTTGCCTAAATTTTCATTTTAATTTTTCCCCCGTGAAAATCCGGTGAACGAAATCGAAGCTCACCGTCTATACGCCCGTGTGAACGTGGGCTTTCGACTAGTTCGTATATAACTAGTATCAGGTAAACCCGCTTCAAACCGGAGGAAGCGAAAAGTTCTGTTTTCATAGAACTAGTCACCATGATCTTCAGTGACTACCGCCCCTGTAGCAACCGAACGTGTTCAATCACCGTTTCATTTAAGTTATTGCCAGCGTTCCATGAACGTCCTAGGGAACGTTCTATTGACTTTTTAATTTCCAAAATTTAGACTGATCAAAAACAGTTTAAAGTATGCGTTCCCTGAACTACATGAATTTATCAAGGAAGCGAATTGGTTATTTCCAAGAGAAAAGCTCAATTAAACTTTCTTTTCAGGATTAATGGAATATGCAAATAACGTTTTCGCTACGTTTCTTTCATCACTTAAATTACATTAGGACCAAGTAGAGGACTATTTATTCTGATCCCAGCTACTCCTGCGGCTGGTGTCAACATATATTACCGATTAGTCTGGTTGAAGGTACCATCTACCACTGTTTGGAATAGTCTGGAGGGGAACCGAAGGGCAATTAATTAATAACTCAGAAACTTTCAGCATATTTGCGGTTATCTAATATGTACGCATTAATTTCAGTTTTAAAATTGAAATTGTGTACCGCCAACGACGGATAAGGTACATATTTCAATTTAAAAGTCCATGTATTCGTTTGTGTTAGGCTATCTCCTCCGAAAACCACCAGGTGGACCTACCGAGGGGGAAATATGGGGAAGGGGGGGGGGATAAAACGTTGCCGTTGAGTGTACAATTTCAAGATAGGAGATCCTGTTTCCCGGGGAGACGGCTCTTCGATTTGCTAGAGATTCCGTGTTAGGAGAGTGAGAAGTATGACACCTCGTTTCTCTAGATCAATGGTTCTCAACCTTCCTTTTACTCCCATTGAACCTTCATGCATTCAGGGGGGGGACACCTCCCAGGTTGAGAACCACTGCTCTAGATGCTCTCAGAAAGGAGTTCGAGGAGGTGGAATTGCGCAATAGGAAAACGTCGAAGAAAGGGATGAAGCACTTTCGCGTTGATTCTTGAATAATGTACAGTCTGTGAACTATCCATCAAGAAATTCAAATGGACGAATGGAAGAGGGGCTTTACGAAAGAAAATGAAGTTACCAGATTGTGATGGCAAGCAGTCTTCCAGGAAAACAATGGCATTTCAAGGAAAATTTAAAATGATGCATTATGCATTGGCAAATGTAGATAATTAGCTTCATATGCATGTAACATTTATTTTAGATGTTTCCAATGATTGTCACGAGAGCAGGAGTTTCACTTCATGTGTCGAGGTCATTTGTCAATCGTGTCCTCAAGTCATAAAGTACCGTGCTACACTAAGTACGCGGCAGACTGCAACATAGTATAATGATTTTTTGATATCCGCTCCCTTTTTCACATAGGATGCAGCAAATACCCAACAAAATGGGCATGACGTCGTTCTGTTGCAACAATATTTCCCCATTCCATGTAGACATAGACTGTGTCGTTCTTCTTCAGATCAAGGAGAATGGATTGCCCAGGCATCTTGCTGTCCTCTCCTTCAGAGTACAATCGTCCTTGAGTTTTTCCGTTTCGTCTCAATTCGACTACCGTCTTTTGTGGTACGAGTCAGGTAATGAAAATGGAAAGCATATATCCCATCCAAGGGTGCGGTAAAAATTCCACTGTCCGGTTCCATTGCATTTCCAAGGTTCACCTCTGTCCCAGCAAACGTGATTGTGCCTGCAATGCCGAAATCGGTTGATCTATACGCATCGAAATAAACTCCTCTTTCTGGGATACGGGCACCGGTTTCCACCTGAAACTCCGGATCGCTCTCCTCTAAATCCATCTGGCAGAGGACTATATCCAACCGTCCATCTTTCCTTTTGATCATATGGTATCCTGAACGAGGGTTTCCAGCTCGGCGCAAGGATGAACATGATTTTGCCGGATTTTTTGACGAAGGAGACTGACCCCTGCAAACCAACCCTCCCAGAGTGTAATTTGCGTCCTGGCCCTCAAACTGCAGCACCCCGAATCGAACCTCCACGATTGGCAGTGCCATTATATTAGTTATTTCTCCCGAATCCGATTTCGATAGAGGAGCTTCTGCATCGCAGTTGCATTGAAGGTTCTGATCAACGCAGTCTTTGGTGAGTCCACATTTGCAAACGTGTTCTCCTGCGTTCGATCCATGCCAGTAAAACTGAGCATCACTGTGGCGATCCACCCACCATGCATAATGTATGGCTCCAGTGCTCAGGGCTGCCGAAATGCAGTCGTACTGTTAGGGAAAAGTCAATGATGAAACGTAACTAATAGCACCATCACACCAAACATCATCTTTTCACTTTGGTTTCACAAGAATTTTCACTGAAACAGTACTTGAAAGCCACATAGGTTAAATTCAGGTTTCTTACCGAAAGAAAATAAATGGTTAATCAGGTTGAACTCACTTTGATTCGTTGGTGGCACCAAAGCGACTGATCCATCAATGCCACCATCTGCTTCATCGATGCATCATAGGTAACTTTTCTAGCGTAGCAGCCAGGAGAAGCGCAATGGTCTATTTCTGTATCATTCTTCATGGAATCATGTTCAACAATCGTCGATACTGGATCTTAAATTATCGATAATCCATTAAAAATATTAGTACAGGCAAAATCTGTCATGCCAACTCTGGAACAAGCACTTTAAAATTGCTTACCTGTCTCCATGTCGCAGAAAACTTTTATAGGTGGATCGCCGACAAGAGCTCCGTCTGGGTCCACCAAGTAGGTTCCTGATCGTCTTATCCCTAAATTTGCAAATGCTTGGCACGTTTGGGGAGCTGTCGCATGGGTTTCGATAGTTTAAATTGCTGAAAATAAGTGTAACATTCGTAGCATAGAATATCTGAACTCACTGATTTGTAGCACGACTGCCTCCATGTATTGGAATCTTTCTTCCATGTGTTTTAGCCGAAGTACTGCATCGTCTCTAACACGCCCATACTCTTGTAGGTGAGACTTGAGGTTCTCGTTGTCAAGTCTCAAGTTTTCGTTTTCATGCTTCAGGTTTTTGTTGTCTTGCAGCAGGTGATCATAGTCAGCCTTGAGTTGATCGATGTGCTTCGCGTGCTCCAGAGATATGGCTATCCAAACCGAAATCATATTTTCCAAGTCCGGGTGTCTCCTTTTCAGTGCAGACGTTGCATTGATCGGGGTTTCCTAGAAAGATGGCGAATAATAAAATGCAGTCTCGAAAGTTAGAAAACTAAGGATTATAGTGGATGTGTCGCTGCCGTGCAACACTGTTCGGAACTCAGCCACCTTCATCAAAGATGAATGCGGTGCTAAAAGAAACCATTTCACGGAATCAAATTAATGTCACCCACACATGCACAGTGAAATCGAGCAACCAATGTTGAATTATCGTATTTAATCAAAATATTCCAAAAGCAACCAAGCTGACAAAATAGCCAGTGATTAAAGTTCACCCAGTGTTTCAAAAATACAAATGTGGGTGAATTGGATGAATTTGGTCCATACTGTAACTAGCATAATTTAGGACAGCGTTGGTCATACTAGGATAATTGCTTTTAAATCAGGTATATTTGGGATATTCCGTATCACTTTGAGTCGCTTTTGAATCAGATTTTATTATTTGGGTTATTATTGGCATTACTGCACAATATCCCATGCATAAGGTCCGAAGAGTCTAGACATATTAAGAGCTACCTACTATAATGCTATGATATGTTATGATAAATGTTATGATAAATCGACGTCTCACTCATCAACTAGACCCAACATCCCCTTAACGGCCCGACACTCCTAAGGAAGGAAAGGAAAACGATGACTTTAGCAGGCCTTGCAAGGATGAATGGATGTGCTTGCCGCTGTATGGGCTCGGTGAACCCAACGCCGATTTTTCGTAACCGAAACTCAATAACTTTTGTACAAGTCATCATTTTAGGTATTTCATATCTGGAAAAAGCATTTTGTAACTGAGGCTTTCTTCTCTCTATTGCTTGTAACCGGAAAAATTTTTCCTTTGGAAGCATCACGCCTTGGCATTGAAAAGTGTGCCCTTTTTTGGACCACCTTGTGCATGTGAGAAATTCAGAGATTTTCCAACCGGGGAGATTGACGAAATCGGAAACTAAAGTTTCTTGGAATCTCCCCCCCCCTCTCTCATCTTCAGATTTCGGTGCAAGAGGCCATGGGTTTTCAACGAAGACACAGGGAATGGCAAAATTGTTCCCAATTGATACTGAAACTTTTATTTCAGGGAACCATGCACATGCTGATGTGGTATTAACTATATTCTAAAAGAATCGAACACATATTTTTCAGTCTTTAATAGCCTTAATAATGTTACGGAGGGGAATTGGACGACGGAAGGCATGAGAGGACGAAAGAAGCCAAGGAACGGCCAGGAATTGAACCCGGGTCTCCTGATTGCCGGTCAGGTGTGCTACTTCTACACCACCGAACCCCGGACATTCAGTCGACCCTCTCGATGCCATCCTCATCCGTCACAATAACAATACCAATATGATCAATATAACCTAATAGTCCGGGGAGGGGCGGGTGGGGGGAAGAAGTCGGATGGTACACGAGGACAAAAGAAAACGAATCTGGAATCGAACCCGGGATCTCCTGATCGTCGGTCTAATGTGTTACAATCACACCACCGAACCCAATATGTACCATCGCAGCTCTCCATGCCATCCCTAACCCTACAACGGGAGAGAGAGACATTCTGCGCGCACCCTTGGCCGGCAAAGAATAAGACTAAGTGAAAAGCGCTGATGAGGTCTGTGATGTTACGGATTTTGTATCATACACCTTCTCTTTCAAAAAACCCTACAACCAGTAATCGCAAACCGTCAGGTTTAACAGCAGTTCTTAAGAAAAGGCTAGGTTTTCGAATGATGCAAAACTCATTTCCATCAGAAATAAATTACATAATAATGCACAACACCTGGGGCGGGGTTTCTGGGACACTGTATTTAATGATGCAGTAGAGTTGACTTACATCTCCAATGCACTGCTGTATCGAAAGGATGAGGACAAGGACGATGAGGTACGACGAGCCCATTGGACCTTGCTCTGCAAACTCGATTGATTCTACCTGGGAAGTAATAACGACGGAATTCCCTTCAGCCATAAGCGTTTCTTCATGAAATTCTAATTTTTCTGTCTTTGATTTCCATGTTTGCCTTCCAGATCTTCTCTCTTTGTTTCCAACTGAATACTGTATGTTGAAAGTTGTTGCATTAGAGACGAGCTAATGGACGAATGTGCGAAGCTGGTTGGAACAGAAACGTAACATTGGATTTCTAGCAAGAAAATTAGGAAACATTTTTGGTCTCGAACAAGATTGTACGCTTTCACAGACGTTATGGAAGTAAATCTAGCAGTGATGAGCAACCCGTGGCCCACGAGGCCCTGGTGTGCAGCCCGGGGGGCTTTGGCAACTGAATTTTTCCCTTTCATCTGCCGTCAGTACTACAGCACACGTGGATAGATTATCATTGCCCTCTGAGAAAGCGCCTTGCTTTGTATTTTGCTTAATAAAAAGGTGTGAAAATTTCCTTAATTGCACATCATTAGCATATACATTTGAATACCTGGTTTAATAACTTAGGCTTGGGATTTATGTTGGTACTTAGCAAGCATATAAAGCCTGTAATTCAGTAAGAAAAAAATGCAAGCGTCCTGCCGGGAACCTTAAAGGCTCACTTGCGGCCCGTAGTCAAAGAAGGTCTCTCATCACTGTTATAGTTTTGGGACGAAATTCTTACGTTTGAGATACATTCTTACGTTTCACTCGGAGTGGCACTTCCCTTGGGAAGTGCCACTCCGAGTGAAGCTTCAGTTAAGAATCGTTCAAATAATCATGTAATTACGTATTTTAATTATTAAAATGTACGCAGTCCCCACAAGGAGATGAATGGGTGTCATTAATATATGAAATAGATAGCTGTAAGTTTGATGCTTCAAGACCCTCACCTGCGTATATGAAACTCTGCAGCTTCCTTTCCGTATCACTTATGGGATAACGGCACAACAGGGACAGGGAAATGGTGCGCAGCGAGAATGTTCATGTGTTTAGACGTGAATGTTTAGACTACGAATTGCCCCAAGCAAACATGAGTCTCGTGTTACTCGCAGCTGTAAATCATGCGATTGTAAACGTAGCAAGATTCAGGGGTTGGGCTGGATAGTGAAGTGCACTGGATGAAACTCTTGTTGGAAATGGTGAGAAGGGCAAATACGGTTGTTCCACATTGTCATAACCCTGTCCTGGGAAGTGGTCAACTTTTCTGCTATCTTCATTTCGCAGTTACATATGTTAGCCACCCCCAGTGATTTTACCTACATAATATTACAGCTGAAACCGAAAGCAACAGACCGAAATACTGTAGGTCCCTTTTTGTATGGGTTTTTGTATGTAACCTCTTTGTATGGTTAAAGTGGAAAATTCATTGCCCTTGAAAACCCATTCAAGGTGTTCTCGTAGCGAAGGTCGCACTAGTGACCAATCAGTATTTCCTAATGAATCCGGATCCCTGTGATTCATGTCCTTTCTATCAAAGGCAGTGAGAGGATTTCTTACATGAGAATGCGCTCAAGGAAGATTTAAGCTTTTCTGGATCCCGCTGCAACCTAGAAAGGTGCTGCCAGGCTGGAAGATTTGGAGTCGGGGCCAGGGGTAGGTGGGGTCACGCAGCATTCACGTAAATAACATTCTGCTATTTACTGACTGTTAAGAGTAAGGGAGAAAGTGCGAAATTTCTCCCTTGAAGAAAGTGATAGGAATTTGAAATTATCCTAACGATTTTATAGTAGACTGCATATACTCGTGTGATTGTCTACTTCTCGACTATATTATGCCACCTACTAACGGATAACAGTGCGAAATCCATTTCTTTGCCATCGGATTTCGTATTATCCAGAAGGGACGACAAATGTTTTTAATAACAAGACTTAAAGGATGACGAATTTCTGGTCCATTGCCACAGTTTGAACCGATCATGCATGAATACAAAACAGCTAGGCATTCTGCAACTCCTGATTTTGTACAGATTTTCCGGGGTTGATGGATAAATAAAAAAAATGGATAAATTTTCATTGGCTCGCGTTGCGCTTCGCGTGCAAAACGGGGGATTTCCTGCTCAAAGGAATCCAGGAAGATATGAGAGTGTCTAACTCATTGATCATTTAATCTGACTGCATCTTTTGCACATATTTTTACATGGTCAAAATCGATTCGTGTATGATTTTTATTAGCTTTCCACCCAGGGAAAAAACGGCTTTGGATATTAAAGAAATATAAATTTCTGCGAATCACACAGCAGAACAAAAAATGTAAAATTGCATAACCTATGGAAAATTACTTATTCACAAGCCAGTACCCGGTCAAATGACCCGACATGAAGATATTGGCAGGAACCGATGGTGCATGCGATCGCAATGTATTTGTGGCAGATGTCGTATTCGCGTTCAAAGCTGATCATTTGCTTATTTGATAGTACAATTTTGCATTTTATTTTAAATAAAGAACGGATTAAATATATACTGCAGCATTTCCCTGTGAACAACATCCAATGCAAAGTGTAAACCATTTCTCGTTTGACCTTGCTTATAGAGGATGTTTGCAGTTTCAACTTGACGCAGTCAAAAGAAAATACTCCTTAGAGAGCCACACATGGTCATGGCTGAACACTCACTTTGGTAGGGAGATCCTTATTCTGTCGAAGGTTTCATCCTGCGCCTTATTGATAGTCATGCCAAAAGCCAGTCGAATCGGGAACTGATGGCGCTCTAGAGTGAATGGTATGTTCGTGTTGGAAGGAGTCAGGTGAATCCTTACTATGAGAACTCGTTTCCCCTTTGCACCTCGAGTCAACACTTCGACATCGTTGATGTTATTCATCATGTGAAGGGCGATTAAACGCATTCCGTGCATAGCTCTTGTTTTGTGTTGAGGTTGCGAAGGAGCATGATGACGGCACCAAATTTGAGTTCAACTTGTGAGGTGGCATTCCAGATGGGTCAGCTGTTAAGAAATTCCACTGCTCAATTATTTTGCTCATCACCGGACCATCACATACGACCGAGTTGATACCTACTCCACAGCCTTGGGTACCCCCGCTACTCCTGTTAGAAATGTCTCGTTCGATTGAAGTGCCTCTTCATCCTTGGGGCAAATAATGGCCATATTTCGTATTGAATGAAGATGTTCAGAAACGATGTTTTTGCCATAGACATTGTCTATGATACTGTCATTAACAGCCCATTGTTGAGGTAGTGCAGCCGAGTTATCGGAGCTCTCATTCAAAATCGGGAGGCGCCCTTCTCCGAGATACAAAAGCCATTCTGAGAACTCCATCTGCTCCCCTTCCGCTTCTATGTTCACTGATATTTTTTAGAATCTCGAATAGTTGCCAAAGAGAGCTTCATTTCAGGGGAGCAATAATGATGGTGCACACATTGCCGTAGTGAACGATGGGGAGAACTTTGCTGAAGTCCGGGATGAAGGGCCAGGGATTGTACGAAACGCCTTATCGGCTTGTCCACTTCTGGCTTCTCTCATTCGCTTATGACGTAGAATTCCGCGCCCAACTCTACCTCATTGTGACTTCAGGGAAGCAACGCTCAGGTTCGGCATTCACCATTAGATTGTATAACGCTTCACATACATAGACGGCAATGCTTCCTGCTCGGTGGCCTCCGATCGCGAAGAACGCAGTGGCCTCAAGAAAAATAGAAGCAATTCCGCCTGGTTTCGAACCCTACATCACCTGATCCTACATCACCAGATCCCGACACGTTTCCACCGAGCCACTGACTGGGACCCCCCTTTTTTTAACCTTGTGTGTCAACATATTTGTCAGTTTTAGTGGCAAAACGATGAAAATGGGATCTATAACTTTCTGAGGATCCTGATTTTCCTTCGATACCGGATACGTCCGGATCTGATTAGTGGGAGAGGAGGAGTTCCCGGACCAACAGACAAACAACGGTATTATTACATAGATTCTTCTGGAATTCACGATGCCCGGCCTTGGCCAGGTTTCAAAAAGTATTAGAATACTGCTTTTCAAAGGTAAACCATATCCCTTTGACTTTTTCTTTAAATACTAAAACTGGCACAAATGGTACTTTGGTCCACTTTTTTGACGACCTCACAGTGGCTCATTTTTCGCTTCCATTGCATATTCAAGGTTCAAGGTAGTTAGTGATATCAAGAGGCGATTACACCCATATCCATATCGAGCGTTCCTTAATTTTAAGGTAGGTCTAATGCTCTCATAGTGAAATATTTTTGTATTTTGATTTTTTTTTCTTATTTTTTCTTTAGAGTATCCTAGTTGTTTACTGCCTAGTCCCTATCTTCAATATTATTCCCCATATTTTTGCCTGCCCATGGCATCCAATTTCTTCTGAGAAATAGTCACAGAAGGGCAGCCACTACTTCCTCATCTATCGCATTCCAAGTGTTCACCACTCTGCAAGTGAAGAATTCCTGAGCCGCACCTACGGTTTCCGCAACTTCAGTTGATTATCTCTCGTTCTCTTGCTGCCATCGAAATGGAAAAACCTACCAAACTCGACATTATCTTTTCTTTTAATTATATTGAAAGCCTAGATGAGATCGCCCCTCCTTAGCCTTCTCTCGAGCGAGTGCAGTTCCAGAACTTCTAGACGTTTCTCGTATGGAAGTCCCCTAACCTCCTTTCATTCTTGTGGCCCTCCTCTGTACTCCCTCGAGCACCAGCAATTCACCCTCATTTGTAGGCCTCCAAAACTGGATGCAATATTCCAACTGGGGTCTTATCAGCGCCGCATACAACGGAAGAATAACGCGCGATGTCCTATTTGCATCCGAATGACAAATATACCCTAGAATCCTGTTGCATTTGGCCACCGTCACTGGCGCGTGCGAGGAAAACTTGAGGTCATCGTCGATAGAAACTACTAAATCTCTCTCTCCGTTTGCATCCCCCAGTTTAACCTCGCCGAACGTGTCGAGAGACCTACCGTTATTTTGACTGACGTGGAGAACTTTATACTTACTTTCATTAAACTTCATGAGACATGTATTGTTCCACTCATCCAAGAGACTTAAATCTCGCTCGCCCTATCCCCCTCCCCCCTTACGGTAAAACCTATATTGGTGTCGTCGGCAAATTTACTCATCTTACCCTCTACGCCGAGATCCAAATCGTTTATGTAGACCAAAAACATACGACATACATACGACAACTGACTTTTTAATCATCTTGTATAATGTGCATTGAACCGTGGCTATGTTTTGTGAATACCAGATGCTGGAGGCCAACTACATACTAAGCAATGCCACAGAGAAAAGCCTGGTCCTTCTGGATGAGCTTGGAAGAGGAACGTCGACTTCAGACGGAATGGGAATCTGCTGGGCAATGTCGGAAGTACTAATCACGAAGCGGGCATTCACCATCCTTGCAACCCACTTCCTACCACTCACCGGGCTCCAGGATCTCTACTTCAATGTTGCCAAGTAAGACAAACAAGGGATCCTCTACTCTGCCTTACAAAAGCCTTTCCTGAAAGATGATGAAATTAATTGGCTTTTCCAGCTACACCTTCGAGGCAATGGAGGTTTCTGCAGAGTCCGAAAGCAGTCAGGCGACCCCCAGCGACGACCAGATGCCAGAAGGTCGCCTGCGATATACGCACAAGCTGAAGAAGGGAGTGACAGAAATCAAGAACTACGGCATAAGGATGGCTATGCTCTCTTCGCTCCCATCCTCTGTCATTCACAGGGCCATGCAATTGGCCGAAGAGATTGGTACACCCACAAGAGTAGGCGCTATTTCAATATCTCATTTAATATGGTCGATAATTACTTCAGACCAGCGAGTTTCTTTTCAGCCACCAGCTACCACCAATGAGGGAATTCATCAGAATTATGACAGACGTTGCTACCAACTGGTTCATCGATTGGAGCAGCTAGTATCACACGAACAGCTGAGCAGCGCAGAATTGTTGCAGCACTGCACAAGGCTTAAGGAACAGTTTTTGACCGTAACTGAAAGCTCAGCTGAAGAAAGCTAAGCCAGTGAAACATGATTTGTTTGTTAAGATGATTCCACAAGTGTTCTTTCAGTGTATAATCATCATTCCTCTGCCATATCACTAATTACTCCTTTATATAATTGATATGTAGTTCTGAGTAATTGCATTTGTTCATGATTCTGAGACCTAGTGAGATATTCTCACCACCTATATACAGTTCATATAATTATTGTATTTAGTCTGAACCTAGAGAAATTTAGACACTTTTGACTTATTCTTAGAATTATATGCAACTAAGAGGTTGACATATGAAGATGAGATGTTAGTATGAAGCTTTCAGCTCAAGTAACCAAATGTTGAACAATGCCAGATGGGAATTCATGGATTCAATAAACTAATTAGAAAAAATCCAAGTCATTTATACATAATACAAAAATACAAAAAAAAACTCCACCTTGCAACTTCTGGATCACAGGCATACAATACTGGCAACAGACTTTGTTCATTGTGCAAAAGAAATAGGAATTTCTGAAACATAGGCATACCAAAACTTTGACAGCAATAAAATATGCTTCATGTCCAAAAAACCAGACTCATTCTGTGGGAAAATGATTTAGGAGATCTCATTGGCAAAAGCCTTTGCCTTCTCTAGGTGCTACACACCAAGGTTCTCCTCAAAACTTGATTGTGCATGCAATGAGGATGGAATGGATGTATGTCAAAGAGGCTCCATCCAGGGATTTCAAAACAGCAGTGTAGTTGATGATCTTGTCTGCAAGATCTCTCAGAGATTCCCCCGAGGAGCTTTGACCCTTTCGCAGGGCAGAGGATGATGCAGGATGAAACTGGAGATACATCTTCAAGAAATGACAGAAGAATAGCACACTTTGAATAAGATCTTTGGTAGACACACGACACCTGCCCGTCTTGGCCTGCTTCTCACACTCAGAAACTAGGCAGCTCATTGCACCAAGAACCTGGAAGTAAAAAGCCAAGCAAAGGGGTGATAATGAGCAGTTGGGGGATCCATCGAATGTGCAAGTATGAGGACATATGTTGCAACAGGTGTGATGACACTGAATAGAATGCTAATGTCTTATAGGGATTGACACAGTGCTGATGTCAAGGTATCTAATATATATAGACGATCGTGACTGACTGACTGACACTAATTCTAATCATGTTCTAGAAGGGTTAGAAATCTGAAAATTGGTACACATGTACCTTTTGGGATGCAGAGTTTAGAAAAAATCCCACTTTGGAGGTACATGCCTGGGGGTACAAATTTTGGGGGGAAACGTTTTTCTTAAATATATTTCATGACAGATGAGGATGGCATTCAGAGAGCCAACTGCATGTCCTGGGTTCGGTGGTGTAGTAGTAGCATCTCTAAATGGCAATCAGAAGGTCCGGGTTCAATTCCCGGCCATTCCTTGGCTTTCCTTTAGCGTTTTTTGCCTTCCATGTCCCGTTACTCATTCCACCACCATAACATTCTTTTTGCTTCAGTAAAACGGAGAGACATGGAAAGCTGAAACTTGGCATGGACGTGCCTACCGAGATGATGAGTTCAGGAAAAATGAAAAATTTTAGATTCATGCCCTGGGGGCATATTTTTGTGAGCCGATGTTTTCAAGTATTTTTTTTTTGTTGCCCAGGCGTATTAAGCTAGTGTGGAAAGATGAACTTGGTACATAACTACCTATTGGGATGCTGCAGAAATCTTCAGACTTTAGAAGTCAATGCCCTGGGGGCACAAATTTCAAAGGGAGATGTTTTCAATCAATTTTTTTGCCTCAGTTAAACTGATGAACATGGAAAGCTGAAACTTTGCGTGAATGTGACTACTGAGACAAAGAGTTAAATAAAAATGTTAAGTCTCGATACATCCCCTGGGGAATTTTTTCGAGGTGCGATGTTTTGAAGGAAAAAAAATGTCGTGGCGAATTGGACAGAAATGGAAAGGTGAAACTTGGCACACGTATAAGTGACATGATATTACTGAGCTGAGGGAGTATTCAGCTTTCATGGGGCATCCCCTCCGGGCATAACTTTTGGGTGGGTCGGCTTTTCCATGTTTTTTCACCAGCGAAAAGGGCAAACGTATAATATTGAAACATTGTGGGCATGTAGTTCACCGAGCAGACATAGAAAAGTAGCTGGCGCACGCATCACTGACGTGATGTTGATTTAAAGAAAAATTAAACTTTTTTATACGTCTCCTCAGAGCAGAGCTTTTGGGTGGGTCGCTTTTCCAACTACATTTTTTTCCGCCAGCAAAAAGGGGAAACGTATGAGGCTGAGTTCCCTGAGTCTACATTTCGAAAGAAAAAAATTTTCGTTAAAACCCATTATTCCACTTTTCTCCAGTCCCATTTTCTTGATTTTTTTTTCTGATCCAACAAAAAAGAGACAGAAAATTTAAACTTCCCTGAGAAGTACCTGTTTGATGGCTGAGTAGAGGAAAAATCCTAATTTTGAAATATGTCTCCTTAGCGTAGATCAGGGGTGTCAAACATACGGCCCGCGGAGGTGATTCATCCGGCCCGCCGCCTGTTCTTGAAATTTCCGCTTGGATTGACTGTTAACAAAAATTTCGGTGCAAAAGTATGGGTGCGGCCCGCAGGCATCTCCAGGATAAGGAATGCGGCCCGCCGACCAATTTGAGCTTGACACCCCTGGCGTAGATTATTGGATGGAAGTATTTTAAAATGTATTCTCCACCCTTACAAAAAGGGTCACAAGAAAAGATTTCAAGTTAGGCACACATAGAATCATAGAGGTAATGAGTTTGATAAAAAAAAATGAAGACTTTCGACCCCATATGTCACGTATTTCAATGGGGACGTACTTTAAATACGTGTTTCCCATTTCGCAAAAAATGAATGAATTAATCACTATCCAAGGTAATAGAGCGCCGAAGACGCGACCATAGTCAAAGCCAAACTCGCTAGTACAGCATATAGATGATCGTGACTGACAGACTGACGCTAATTCTAACCATGTTCTAGAGAAGTTAGAAATCTGAAACTTGGTACACGTGTACCTTTTTGGATGCAGAGTTCAGAAAAAATCCGACTGTGGAGGTACATGCCCTAGGGGCACCCATTTTTGGGGGGAGATGTTTTCAATGATTTATATTTGCTTGTCAAACGGAGAGACATGGAAAACTGAAACTTGGCATGGACGTGCCTACTGAGACACAAAGTTCAGGAAAATTTTCAAATTTCAGATGCATGCTCTGGGGGCACACTTTTTGGGGGTGAGGTTTTTAAATAATTTTTTTTTGTCCACTGAATTGTAGAGATAGAAATATGAAACTTGGCACAACAATAACTGGGCTGATGATGAGTTCAGAAAAAAATTCCAGTTTTGTGGTGCATACCCCAAGGGCACAACTTTTGGCTTTGTCAGCTTTTTCAAAGATATTTTTGCACCAGCAAAAAGAGAAAACGAATAAGGATGAAACTTGGCATGCACGTTGTTCTCCGAGTACTGATTTCAGTAAAAAAAAATGTTAATATTTAGGTAAAACCCCTGAGGGCATATTTTATTTGCAAAAGATACCTTTTCCGGAAACTTTTCTGATTCAAAGATGGAGAGAACTAAAGAAATTTGAAACTTGGAGCAGAAGTACCTGTTAGACTTCTAAATGCATATCTTATTTTTCAAATAAGACCCCTCAGGACAGATTTAGAAGGGATTTGAAGTCAGGCACACGATAAATAATTGGTGTGATTATTTCAATGGAAATATTGGTTCATTCTCTCTCGGCATACATTTCGACAGGAACATACTTTTTATACGTTTTTGCCACTTTTGAAAAGTGGCACTTCCTTCACTGCACTTCCTTAAGCATTTTACCACAAAAGTTACAGCAATTCTTTTTTTCAAAGGAAAACCTGAAGTAAACTCATGTCTTGAAGACGGCCCATTATGCCCAGCACTGTACCTCCAATCTGTTAGTTGATTGTCAGGTGTTTATCTGACAATCAAAAATATATAGCTTTAAGAGGGTTAGGCCTACCCTAAAATTAAGGAACGCTCGACCTCGACACGTGATATCGAAATGGGCGAAATCGCCTCTTGATATCACTAACTCTCCTGACTCCTGACTCCTGAATCTTGCCCCAATGCCTATGCAATATTGGGGGCTTTTATAATATCACCAGAATTGATAAATTCTGATGATTTACAAAAAGGTGAATATACATACTCACAGTTTTTTTTATTTGTTGGAATTAGACATTCCTTCATCAATGATCCCATATTCTCTCGTAATGGCGCTCCAAACTCGCCCATCACAATCTAGCGCTCTTTATATCATGATGTCTACTTGTGAGTGACTCGTTCTTTGCCTCAGAAAGCTCATTGTACAAGGAGGTTTCAAAAGTCCGGACTCGGGCAGATTTCCTAATTTACCTTCATTTCATTAAATGTTCAAATTGCATCCCATAAACTTGCATACACATATCAATCCTGGTACATAACCCCCTCTGAATATTTCTTATTGTTTCTATACTTATTTTGGTGCACTCATTCATTGAGAAATTTAATTAATTCAAAATACCCATGAGTACGGACTTTTGAAACTCCCTGCATGTTAGTTTGTCTACTTTTCGATGCAGTCATGATGAGTTTTACCCTGCCGTGCGTGCAGACAAATTGTAGGGATATTTCATCTGGTAAGGATAGTGGGTGGATTGCATGAAACTGACTTTAGCCTAATGCCAGCTTTAAATCTCCATTAGAGGTGGAGTTGAAGCTACTTTAGCGGAGATTTTTAATGTGGATTGCATGAAAAGAAATCAGTCTGACGTAGCATTAAATTCCGTATTAGTTTAATGCTACGATGACCCTGATGAAACCGAAGAGGAACATACCGCTGGCTCGACACATTTTCTTCCTGCTTCACTATGTCCACAGACGATGCTTTTATTTATTATTTATTTTTGTCCTGGATGTTTCCGTGACTGTAAAAAAAGCAGAGTGAATAAACAGCGAATTCAGTAGATGGTCGCCCGAACTCAGCTGAAGTA